AAAAAAGCTGGATTGTGTGTGTGTGTGTGTGTGTGTGTGTGTGTGTGTGTGTGTGTGTTGTCTGATCCCAGATACATGGGAAGCCTAAATAGGATGATTATAATCTAGGCCAGCCTGGGCAAAAAGCCAGATCCTACCTGAAAAGCTACTCAATCACAAAGGGCTTGGGGGCCTGGCTCAAATGATAAGAATGCCTGCCTAGCAAGCACAGGGCTCTGAGTTCAAACCCCAGTAATGCCAAAATAAAGTAAAATAAAATAAAACAGAACAAAGAACCATGAAGGGAGTTATCTAGGAATAGAATCCTGAGGTAGACCTAGGGGCTAGGGTCTTGTAGATGAAATCCGGTGTGTTCAGGGTAGTATGGCCATAGACAAGGTCTTGTAGATAGCAATCTATTTGACAGCAAGAACTTGAGAGCTGGGCTGCTAGAAGTCAGAGAGCACGGTTTGACAGACAAGCATTGCCACTGGGCAGCAGGGTGGACTCTTACCAGATTTAGTAATGCTTTTTCTGCCAGGGCCGTCTGATGGGGTGGAGTCAGCGCCAGCAGCTGCTCTGGAGCTCCTTGTACCAACTCTACCACCAACATAATGGATTCATTGGACAATCTGTCCATCAGCTGGATCCTATATTACAATTTGACAATAGGGTTACTCAGTTACAACTGAGCCAAATTGAGAAGGAAGCGTAGAACCCACATCCCTCAGACAAGATGTAACACCAAATGAAACTAAATGAAACACTGTGACCTGAACAGAAACTGATATTAAACAGCTCTCAGGCAATTGCCATCATTTGCTAGGAGGAAGAGAACACAAAGAATGACATATTCTAGTGCTCCTGATGGACTCAAGAGCCCCAGACATTCATCACCATTAATTTATTTCCTTTCCCTCTTTTTTTTTTTGCCAGTCCTGGGACTTGAACTCAGGACCTGGGCACTGTCCCTGAACTTCTTTTGCTTAAGGTCTGCACTCTACCACGTGAGCCAGAACACCACTTCTGGCTTTTTCTGTTTATGTAGTACTGAGGAATAGAACCCCAGGACTTCATACATGCTAGGCAAGCACTCTACCACTGAGCCACATTCCCAGCTCCCTATCCTTCACAAATGAGGAACACAGATTTTCTGATTGCTGGCCCAAGATCTTTCACCTCATCCAGGCCCTTGGTTCTACATTATCTCAGAGAACTAACATATTTAAGTGGATTAAAAAAAACAGAAATCAAAGCCAGGCGTTGGTGGCTCATGCTGGTAATCCTAGCTACTCAGGAGGCTGAGATCTGAGGATCACGGTTCAAAGCCAGCCCGGGCAGGAAAGTCTGTGAAACTTTTATCTCCAATAAACCACCAGAAAACCGGAAGTGGCTCTGTAGCTCAAGTGATAGAGCACTAGCCTTGAGCTGAAGAGCTGAGGGACAGTGCCCAGGCCCAGAGTTCAAGGACCACGACCAACAAAACAAAACAAAACAAAAAAAACCCCCAGAAATCAGAAATGACATCCTATAGTCTATATAGAATTGCAAATTCCTGGGACTGGGCCAAGTTGTACAAGAACCAAAACCTGTGGAAAGGCCTATAAAATTGTAAGAATGAATGCTTTTACCATCCTCACATCTCCAGTTATACTGCAACCCTAAACCTTTCCCTTCTCTGACCTGCCGTTCAGCTAGTAAGGAGCTGCAGGGAGGTAAAATGAGAAAAAGAAGCACACAGAGGGAAATACTCATAAACTAGAATCTCTGAGATGGAGGAAATAGGGTTTATCTTGTTTCTCTCCAGTTTATATGTGAATCTGTTCGATAACTTTTTTTCCATGGGGGCCATCCAGTTTAACCTGGGATAAGGCCAATGATCAGGTGCTCACTGCTTCAGGTTTCCTTTTTTTTTTTCTCTCTCTCTCTCTCTTTTGCCAGTCCTGGGGCTTGAACTCAGGGCCTGGGCACTATCCCTGAGCTTTTTTGCTCAAGGCTAGTGCTCTACTATGTTAAGCCACAGCTTCACTTCTGTTTTTCTGGAGCTTAATTGGAGATAAGAGTCTCATAGACTTTCCTGCCCAGACTGGCTTTGAACTGTGATCATCAGATCTCAGCTTCCTAAGTAGCTAGGATTACAGGCATGAGCTACCAGAGCCTAGCTCAAAAAATCTTATTTTTAACTCATTAATTATAGTCTTGGCCCCCATGGAACCATTAAAAAAAATCCCCATATACTTTCTTCTTGATAACTCCTCAGAGATATGAAGTCATTTATCACAGTTTTCTTTTATTTTCTCTTAATCCATTCCTCTGAACAACTGAAAACATAGTATCCTAAACCTCTACAGCAGAAGTGACCACTGCCTCTCTCATTTTACAAACTCTATTGCTATTAATGTGGTCTAGGTTACCTTAGGATTATTTGACAGCCGCAACATTGTTGAAACCCTCAGCTGTCCCGTGCCCTGGGAGCTCCTGAATAGAATCCTCCGCTTTAGGCTATGAATGTCAGGAAACCTCCAGAGACAAAACTGCTCTGCCTAAAGACCGTTCTTCTATTCCAAGCTGAGTTTTTGGAGGACCCAGAATCTCTAGCTATGTACTTACGGTAAATCCAGGAGCAGCTTAGTGTCGAGTTCACTCAGTTCCGGCCCCAGGTTGGTCAACTCTGGCTCAGGCATTGTCATCCTTCGCTGTAGTTCTGCCCAGATACAGGCCCTCTGTGGTACAGGGGTGGAGAAGCAGGGTCAAGATGGGGACTGGATTTATAGCCTTCTTGCCACTACTAACACCCATGCGTCCCTCTTACCAAGCTCCCTCGGACCCCAGTGGGCAGTCGATATAGCATGTGTATCACATCAAGGAAGTCTGCCATTGAGTTGATCTGCTGCAGAAATTCACAGGACATGCCTCCTGCCAGGTTTCCCAGAGCCCTGTGGGTGTGAGTGGGTAGATGCTCTTTTTAACACATGCCACAGCTTGAGTGCTCCTTGATATCATTACCCATGTTCTCAACACAAGGACAAGATGTTCATTTATGGTCATAACAGTTGAGAAATGTTTGTACATAGATAGTCTCATTGTTTATCAAAGAGGAACTAAAGGTTCACAGAGGTCAGGTGATATTCTGCTACAGGTAAACTAAGACTAGAGCTGTATCCTCAGATTTTGAAACTCCTGATTCTTTTTTTTTTTTTTTTTTGGTCCTGGGATCTGAACTCTGGGCCTGGGTGCTGTCCCTCAACTCTTCTGCTCAAGGATAGCGCTCTACCACTTGAACCACAGTGCCACTTCTGGCTTTTTTTTTTTTTGGTCGGTCATGGGGCTTGAACTCTGGGCTTCAGCGCTGTCCCTCAGCTCTTCAGCTCAAGGCGAGTGCTCTACCACTTGAGCTACAGCACCACTTCTGGTTTTCTGGTGGTTTATTGGAGGTAAGAGTCTCAGGGATGGGGCTGGGAAGGTGGCTCAGTGGTAAAGTGCTTGCCTTGCATGCATGAGGCCCTGGGTTCGATCCCTCAGCACCACATAAGCAGAAAAAAAAGCTGGAAGTGGCGCTGTGGCTCAAGTGGTAGAGCACTAGCCTTGAGCTGAAGAGCTGAGGGACAGTGCCCAGGCCCAGAGTTCGGGCCCCACGACTGGCAAAAAAAAAAGAGTCTCAGGGACTTTCCTGCCCAGGCTGGCTTTGAACTGTGATCCTCAGATCTCAGCCTCCTAAGTAGCTAGGATTATAGGCATGAGCCACCGGCACCCAGCTCTTCTGGCTTTTTTCTGAGGAATTGAACCCAGGACCTCATGCATGCCAGGCAAGCATTCTACCACTGAGGTTACCTTCCCAGCCCTAAACTCCTGATTCTTTTACTGTGGGTGCAGGCAAGGTGGTAGTTACTCCTCCAGTAGCTCTAAAGTCACCTTGAATTAATTAAAAAGAGCAACTGTTTATTGAGAGTTCACACTGGGCTAGGCACTGGGTTAAATACCTCATATGCCTTATCTTATTTAACCCTCACTGTAACCACCTTTGAGGTAAGTACTGTTTTAACTCTTATTCCACAGAAGAGAAACAAATTAAGAGAGATTATATGACTTTCAGATTATAGGACTCAAATCAAGATAGATGTGGCACTGTGGTGGGTCAAGAGGGTAAGAAGAAGGTGAGCCAGGAAAATGTTGACAAGGCTGGAACTAGACATCATTCCTGTATCTCCTATTGTGTATCATATGGTGCCTGGTATATGATAATCACCAAAATATGCTAGTTGACGGTTGGGGTGGTAACCGGTCAGTGATAGAACACTTGCCTATATTTTGTAAGGCCCTGGGTTTGATCTCCAGAACTGCTAAATAAATAAACAGATGTCCATTAAATTAGACTAACTGTTCAATGTTAAGTTACTCACTGCAGATTTCTGAGCGTCAGGTTGGTGGGTAACTGCATCTTCTTCCAGAGGAACTGTGCCTATAAGAGAAAAAAGGGCTGCTTCCTACAGAGATATTGTCCCAAGGACCTAAAGTGCCTTGGACTTGGAAAATCCCAAATGATGCCTATCTGAGGGGGGAAGGGTAGGGAATGAAGTGTAAGGGATCCTAGTAATAAGGTAACAATTAGGCAAGGGGCAGCTCAGGGAAGTGAAAGAGAGAAAGAATTCTGGAATTAAAAAAAAAACAAGAGAATTACCTGCTGCTCAGACCAAGGCAGCCCTCGATAGCGCCTTCGATTTGCCAGCAAAGCCGCAGTATCCAGTTGTAGCAGCTTTAATGGGAGCAGGGGGAGCAGGCAGTCTGGCCAAGTAGTGGGAATGGGCTGCTGGCAGTGATGGGTATAGCAGTGTAGTGATAGGAGAGAGGGTCTGCTCTCAGCCCTCAGAGAAGGGGAGCCATGGGGTGGGAAGGGATCAAAACTAGGATACGGGTGGGGTGGCACTGGCTACTCTACTAGTTAAGCACCTGATGGACTGAAGTTCCCTAAGATCTCTGAGGCATTGGTCTTCCCACTTGAAAGTGGGATGGCTGGTCTGGACCATTTCTTAGGCCTTTCCGGTTTGACATTGTAGGAAGTGTGGGGCATGCATCTAGAACTGGGGAGAACTACTTATCTTGGGGAGAGCAGAGCTGACCTGAACTTTCAGGGCCAGGCCATTGCAGGGGCGGGGGGGGGGGAGTATATGCTTGGCAGCACCAGCCAGATGAAGCTGCCTAAAATGGAATCCCACGCATACCTGACCAGGAATGCACACAGCTGCACCAGCACCTGTTGTACCCGTATTTTTAACACCAGTCTTCACCTGCACAAGAATTGGCTGTGTGTGTGTGTGTGTGTGTGTGTGTGTGTGTGTGTGTGTGTGTGTGTGTGTTTGGGTATGTGTAAGGGAATAGGGACTTAGAAGGGAACCTCCCCTGGCCACAGTGCCTATATCCCCAATGGTTGCATCTTCCCTGCTATTCTCATACCCGAAAGGTCTGCAGTAGTGCCGCGGTCTGGCAGGCTGAGAGACGTGACAGCTCAGGGACCAGGCAGGAACAGGCCCCAACTAGAACTCGTCTAGGGATGGCCTGGAGTGTCTGGGGGCTGAGGCCTGGCAGCAGAGGGTGCAAGGAGCAGAGTTCCTCCAGGGACAGCTGAAGAGTAAGAAAGACAAGCGGTCTGAAAACAGGAGCTAGACAATAATAATCCAATCCAGTGGATCCATGGGTAATTTTTTTTGGGGGGTGGGGTGGGGTGGCTGAGAGGAAGTAGGGCAGACCCAAGAGTCAGGGTAAAAGGGAACACAGGCCTTCAGGGGCGTGTGGAGAAGTTGCTGCTACTTACCTCATGCCTAGGGAGGAGCCGCCCAAGCAGCAGAGCAGCCTATGATGGGATTGGACAGGAAACAACAGCTCTCAGGCCCTAGCAGCCAAGCCTCAAACAGGCCCCAGGGCCTGCCCTCCAAAACCTGCAGCTCCCTCTCAACCAACCCCACTGACCAGCCTGAACGAGGGTCCTTCGTGGGCTGAGGGAGGGAAATGAAGGAGACCTCAGTGGGACAGGCTTCACCTCGAGCGCTCACGCAAAGAAAAGAGGGGCTGATGGTATCCCTACATGTGATTCTCTCCACTGAGGTTCCAGGGAGTAAGCCAGGCCCACCTGGGCAGGTGTGACATTGGTTCCACGTAGGGCAGGAAGCATGGCTCTAAGCTGGGGCTCTGACAGTTCCTGCAGGAAGCGGAGGCCTAGCTGAGGGAAAAGAGGGGCCCAGACCTGCAGCTCCCGGGGGCTTAGCACAGCTCCTCCAGACGAACGCAACACCCCTAGAAGTTCATACGCCACCTGTAACCAAAGAAGTTTTGGGGACTGGGGAAGCTTGGATTTCCACTCCAAACCAAGGGCCTGGGCTAAGACTCAGAACCACGGGTAGGACCAGAGTGGATTAGGTTTAAGATCACAAATGGTGTTTGGGATGTCCATAGGGAAAGGCTAGGAAGAACCCTGGTCTCAGAGGTGCTAAATTGGTAGGTATAATTAGACAAGTCTCCACATAGTTCCAGAGTCTTGTAGGCCTGTGCCAAGGCGCTCACCCTGCCTTCTGGGCTGAGGGTCCCGTTGGCCGCACATTCTAGCAGTCCCTGTTCTACAGGTCCCATTGGATCACTCAAGGGCACCATGCTCTGCAGTTCCTCGGGGGTCAGGAAACAGGCGAGAGATCCAAGCCTAAGGAGGAAATGAAGCTGGCCTTCATGTGATCCTTGAGGTTTATAGTCACGCAGGGACTGTGGGCATTCTCTGATCCCTAAACTAGAAAATGTAACTACCATATGTAAGCCTCTCTCCTGGACCTCTATATTACCCTACTTGGCCTGTGCTCATGCTTTCTCTCTCTCTGCTTATATTAGTTATACAATAGGGCCTCTCTTCTGCATCTTTGACTGGCCATTGTCATAGAACCCACAACCACTCACTTGCGTACTTGCTCTTCACCATCCCCAACACTCTGGTTCACCAGGCTGCGGAGCACATGTCGGGCATGACCTGGCCCAAGACCTGCTGCTGGCCAGCTATCCTCCAGGGCCTGGATCTGAAATGGGGAGAGTCAACTTGTGTTGGGATCACCGTGGGACAGGAGCCCACGAGGAGATGTGTCACCCACTCCCATCCCACTTAATAAGAGAATGGACCAGGCAAGTGACGATAACTCGAGTACCTGGTGAGGGCTAAGCTGCAGGAAGTTCTCTAGAGGGAGGTGAGGAAGCAGGGGCAGCGCAGCCCACAGCAGCTCCTGGGGCCAGGCAGGCACTTCCCCAAACAGCTCAGGGGCTAACAGTCGCTTTGCCAACGCTTCCTTCTGTTCGGGTCTCATTCCTGAGCTGTGATCCCGGATGGCAGCTAGGCTGGGGAGAGCAACAGGTCATAACCCCTTCATCTTGTTCCAAACTGGTATCTTCCTGTCATGGCCAGGAAGGAGACTCTTGCTGGGATTAGCCTACTCCAGACAGGAGCTTACACAGTATCATTGGCCAGCAGCGATGGTGGGAAGCGCATCAGGTCAGAGACAGCCAAGAAGGGAATGAGTGGCGACAAGTCGATGAAGAGCTGGGATGTGAGGCGTGGGTACCGCTGTAGCAAAAGGGCTGTCAGGCGACCCATGGCCTCTTCCTCAGATGGTGGTACCTGAGAGGTACAGAAATGGATGCTGCTTCTGGAGATGCATGGTGTCCTGGCCATCTCCTCTTTGGAGTTCTTTCTCTCACTAAGGCAAGCCCTCTAAACAACAGGTACCAGGTGCCTTCGACCTCTAGATGCCCCTCCACTCTTGCTCCCTTCTCCCTTCATGCTCACATGCAACTGAGCCCAGGAACGATGCATGAGTGTCAGGAAGCCCTGTGCAGCTTCCGTCTCTGCAGAGAGCACCAGCTGCTGGAGGTTTTCTGGGGGCATGTGCAGGTATGCCTAAGAATAAGAGGTCATGGTGAGCATGATCTGACTATCATACAGGGCTCTCGGGCCGTGGCTATCACTCAGCCCACCCATGTTCCCTTCCACCCATTACCTGCACTAGAATCTTCAGAGCCCAAACACTCTTCTCTCTCTGGAGCAGATCCCACAGCACAGGCTGGCAGGGGAGAAAGACAAGATGCCAAGAGAGCTGTCTTCTCAGTCCTACAATTTTTTTTGGCGGGGGGTCTGGTTGTGGAGCCTAAACTCTGGGCCTAGGCACTGTCCCTCAGCTCTTCAGCTCAAGGCTAGCGTTCTACCACATGAGCCACAGCGCCACTTCAGCTTTTTTTCTTTTTTTTTTTTTTTTTGCTTATGTGGTGCTAAGGAATCGAACCAGGGCCTCGTGCATGCAAGGCAAGCGCTCTACCACTGAGCCACCTTCCTAGCCCAGTCCTACAATTTCCCAGGACTTTCAATTCAACTTGAGGGGCTGCCTGTCCTTCGTCTAAAGCTCATATGAGTATCTTCAGATAGTAAGCCTCTTTTGGTCTGAGACCATGTCTCTGACTTCTATTATATCCTTTCCCATGCTAGGTCTATAGACAGCTCAACAAATACTTGTAGATCTGGGCCAAATTACTATGAAAAAAAGGGGCCTAAAATGGAGTAAGGAAGAACCTAGCAAAGTGCCTTGAACATCAGACTCTTAGTGCATGAATTATGGAAATCAATGTATTTTAAGCTCCTTCAGTTTGCAAGGAAGAAACAAAAGCCCAGAAAAAAAAAATGTGCTGGGGATGTGGTTTAGTGGTAGAGTGCTTGTCTAGCAAGCATGAAGCTGTGGGTTCAATTCCTCAGTACCACATAAATAGAAAAAGCCAGAAGTGATCCTGTGGCTCAAGTGGTAGAATGCTAGCCTTCAGCCAAAGAAGTACAGAGACAGTGCCCAGGCCCTGAGTTCAAGCCCCAGGATGACCAAAAAATGGAATTATTTTCCTGCGATGGCAATAATTTACAGAATAGGGCTGGGAAGATGGCTTAGTGGTAGAGTGCTTGCTTTGAATGCATGAGGCCCCAGGTTCGATTCCTCAGCACCACATAAACAGAAAAGCTGGAAGTGGCGCTGTGGCTCAAGTGGTAGAGCGCTCACCTTGAGCTGAAGAGCTAAGGGACAGCACCCAGGCCCAGAGTTCAGGCCCCAAACCGACCAAAAAAAAAAATACAGTATAGCTGAATCTAACCAAAGTTTGATTTGTAGTTTCCCTGAATCTTCCTCATTCCTGCCTTATTTTCCTGTATTCTTACAGTACCTAATTTTTACTTGCTAGGGAGAGAATTTAAACCCCCTAACTGGATCCCTTTTCTTTCAGAAATAAAAAAGGCAGAAAGTGGGAGAGTCACTGAGGTAGTATTTATTGCGCATTTAGGTTCTGGCCTAAGCCCACGGCATACATTATCTCATATCATCTTTACAATCACTCTGAAAGTTTGGTACCATTATTACCCTGAGTTTACAGATGAGAAAAAATGTTTCTCAAAGGCTAAAGGTTGATCACAGAACTAAAATGTGAACCCAGGTTGCATGCATGAGGCCCTGGGTTCAATTCCTCAGCAGAAAATAAAAAAAAGCTGGAAGTGGCACTGTGGCTCAAGTGGTAGAGCGCTAGCCTTGAGCTGAAGAACTGAGGGACAGCACCCAGGCCCAGAGTTCAGGCCCCATGACCAGACCCCCCCCAAAAATAAAATAAAATAAAATGTGAACCCAACCTGTTGGACTCTAGATCTGTATGTTAAAAAAACAAAACAAAAAACTACTGCCCAGTATTGGAAGACATTCCCCTTCCCTCGTCTGAGTTTCTACCCAGGCAGATCACTTACGCTGAAACAGGATAGCAGCTCCATCTTGCTCATACCAGAGCCGAGGCTCATGGGTTCGAAGCCTGGTGGGGTTGGCTGTTCCTGTTCCAGGTACTCCCCAACTGTCCGTAACACACTGCGCCGACCCTCTGGGCGGAAGGCATCCCAGAAGGAGCAGTTGTCTGGGAGACTGGAGAGCAGCAGGGCCTGACCCAGCATCCCTTGGGCCTCAGCCCCTCCAGTCCCTGGACCCAGAAGGAAAGTCAACAGGCGCAAGAGATAGTGTAGGCGTGTGGGGTGGGCAAGGGTGGGCACAGAGGACTGGCAGCGTGGTAACTGGGACAGCATGCCAAGCAGGAAGGGGCCGGGGGCCAGACAGAGTGGGGATGGTCCCAGAGGTGGCAGAGAAGGCAGAAGGGGACTCAGCAGCCCTTCTAGAAAGCAGGTGTCATTCCCCCCACGACTTATCCTGCACTGGCCTGCTAGCCAAGGCCAGAAAGGCACCAGGGCTTCATACATGGTGTCATTGGCACAGACCATCAGTAAGAAGCCACCCCCATCTGGGCAGCGCTCCCCGCAGGGTCCAATGTGGCAGGGTGGGAAGGCAGTGGCATCTACGGTGGGACCCTGGCATACATGCTGTACCCAGGCCTGGTTGCTTGGGGGCACAGCCTGCAGACTCGCCTCTACACATAGCCGCTCAGCCCACAGAGTCTCATTCTCCAAGAAGCAGCCCCAGAAAACCTCTGGGGTGAGGGGTACAGGGACCAGGCCATCAGGACAGCTGGTGGGGGGTGGGAGCAGGCCAGCACAGAGCCGCTTTACCAGGCGGCGGTTAGGACCAGACAGGGTCGAAAAGGAGAGGTTGCTACAGATTGCATCCAGAAACTGATCAGGAAACTGGTCGTGGCAAGCCTGTAGCCAGCTTTGAGCACCTGGTGCCCACGAGACTGCATACCACACAGCTGTCTGGCAGACGGCAGCGGTGCTTGGAGGTGGCTGTGGGGTCATAGGCCTGGTATACTGGCAGAGCAAGTGGATGGAGAAGTTGGAAATGCTGTAGGGTGGAACTGGACCTGAATGGTTCTCACAGATGGCCTCCACAGAGATGGCTCGCCGTTGGCGAGGGCTGACGTGGGCCGAGGGCTGGAAGGCCCTGGGCAGAGGCACGCCCGAGCTCAGGCAGTGCAGGAGGGCAGGGGGTGGGGGTGGTGATCCAGACAGAAAGCCCAGCGCCTGGACATCCCAGGAAAGGTTGTGCCGGATGCCCCTGGGTGCAGAGGGAGGAGTAGGCACAGTCTGGTTAGTTCACATTTTCTTTGGTTGGTTGGTTGTGTCAGTCGTGGGGCTTGAACTCTGGGCCTGGGTGCTGCTCTTGGACTCCAGCTCAAGGCGAGCACTCTACCATTAGAGCCACAACACCGCTTCCGGTTCTCTGAGTGGTTTATTGGCGATAAGAGTCTCATGGACTTTCCTGCCCAGGCTGGCTTTGAACCACGATCCTCGGATCTCAGCCTCCTGAGTAGCTAAACGTGAACCACCAATGCCTGGCTCACATTTTCTTTCTTTCTTTTTTTTCCAGGGCTGAGGACCAAACCCAGGGTCTTGCGCATGCTGGGTGGGCACCCTTCTGCTGGGCTAAACTTCCAGCCCCTCACATTTTCTTTTTTTTCTTTCTTTTTTTTTGCTTGAACCCTAGGCCTGGGCACTGTCCCTAAGCCTCTTTTGCACAAGGCTAGCATCCTACCACTTGAGCCAAGCACCACTTCTGGCTTTTTCTGTGAATGTGGTACTTAAGAATTGAACCCAGGGCTTCATGCATTATAGGCAAACACTCTACCACTAAGCCACATTCTCAGCCCGTTCACATTTTCTTCAGCTATAGATTTTTTGTTGTTGTTGTTATCAGTTTGGGGCCTGAACTCTGGGCCCATGCACTGTCCCTCAGCTCTTAAGCACTCTACCACTTGAGCCACAGGGCCACTTCTGGCTTTTTCTGCTTATGTTGTGCTGAGGAATCGAACCTGGGGCCTCATGCATAGCAAGGCAAGCGCTCTACCACTGAGCAACCTTCCCAGCCCTTCAGCTACAGATTTTGACTCCGGCCCAGAACCTGGCCAACATAAGCGTAGGCCTTGCAAAGGTGAGGTCCCTGAGAGTAAAGGTGCGGCTAGTTTCAGGGATGGGGAACATCTGACCTCCATATAAGGCCCATGAGACAGTGACAGGACCTGCTACAGGTCAGACACCTGAGGCTTCTCACTGGCTACCCATGGACAGTCCGCCTCTACTGGTCATTTTGTATGGTGTTATGAATATCCAAGTGGCCCTTGGCAAAAAAAAAAAAAAAGATTCCCCACCACTGAGTGGGGGTGGGGGAGGGAGGAGCAGGACGCACTCCCAAGGCACAGAATCAGCCTGTGTAATCCCAGCTGAAGTCCCTTGTGTCCACCTTGCCCTCTCCTCGCACCTTCTTCCTCTGGTTTTAGGTAGCTTAAACACAACCCTTGGCTCCTATCAGGAAATCTGCCTGGCAACTGAATATGTGTAACTGTGTTCTGGCACTGTTGTACTGAATTAATAAGAGGGTAGAAGAGTCTAGTCTTGTTCTTTCTTCCCATCCACCCCATATTTATTAGCTTACACTACATGCCGAGCACTCTTTTTTTTTTTTTTTTTTTGGGTCCGGTC